CGTGACCTGCAGGTCAAAGGAGGTCATCTTGCCCCTCTACTCTGCTCTCGTGAGAACTCACTTGGAGTATTGTGTGCAGTTCTGGTGTCCTCAACATAAAAAGGACATGGAACTGTTGGAACAAGTCCAGAGGAGGCCACGAGGATGATCAGGGAACTGGAGCAGCTCCTGTATGAAAATAGGCTTGAGAGAGTTGGGGCTGTTCAGGCTGGAGAAGAGAAGGCTGAGTGGAGACCTTATAGCAGCCTTCCAGTGTTTGAAGGGGGCCTATAGGGATGCTGGGGATGGATTATTCATTAGAGACTGTAGTGACAGGACAAGGGGTAATGGGTTAAAACTTAAACAGGGGAAGCTTAGATTGGATATAAGGAGGATGTTCTTTCCTGTTAGGGTGGTGAGGCACTGGAACAGGTTGCCCAGGGAGGTTGTGAATGCTCCGTCCCTGGTGGTGTTCAGGGCCAGGCTGGACGAAGTCTTAGGTGGCATGGTTTAATGTGAGGTGTCCCTGCCCATGTCATGGGGGTTGGAACTAGATGATCTTAAGGTCCTTTCCAACCCTAAATATTCTGTGATTCTATGATTCTAAGCTAGGGTGAAGGTTGCATAATGGGTATCACGTATATAGCTGCAACATCCATTTCAAAATAACTTTTGTTATTTACTAAGAACAATGACCCTGTATCACAAGCCTTCCTTTTGAAGAGTTAGGCTCCAGTCCTCTCTCGTGCCTGGATCTCTTTTCCCTGACCTCATGGTTCTTGAGACCATTCATACACATTGTTTCAGCGTCATTAAAACACCAGCAAGCAAATGTCTGTTTGGTAGCAATTTCTGGGTGTCAACTCATGAAGAAGCAAGGATTGACATGGAAAAGTTTTCTGCAGGTGAGGGATTACTGGAACAAATAGTGGGTACTACTTAAGAACAGTGTCTTTCAGATACTATGTCATAGTCATATTTTTCAGGATTTGCTCTTCTCTCACAACTCTTAGAAATATACACTGGGAAGTCAGAAAACTCTCAGACTTATCTGAACCAAATGCATTTCTGATGCTTTTATAAAGAATTTGTTTGGTTTTCTGAAGCTCATCTTGGAAAGCTCATCTGGGCAGCCGCATGAACCACTGTAGTACCTGTGAGCTGGAAAGCATTTCCTTAGTCTCATGTAGGTTTATCTTTCTTGTACCAGTTTTCCAAATACAGGCATGCATTTAGCTGCCGTAAGTGTGAATGGGAAGTTGGAATACCTCCAGGTCAGCTGGCTTCTGCCTAAATATTCAGGAAAACAAAGACAACCTTGTTTGACTAACTTTCATAACTTGTTACATATAGCACAAGATGAAGTTTTAATCTGGCAGTATGGTATTGCTATAACAATACAGCAACAGGAGAAAGTCCTATCCTTCTGACCCTGTTCAGGTAGTCTCTCCTGTGCCTGTTACAAGCTAGCTTTTTCCCTTTAACCTTGAGTCTCAAAAGCTGTTGGAAGATGCCATGACCCAAAATGATGGTAGCCAAGAAATGGCACTGGTCATTGTGGGAAGACTGGAGGAATACTTTCTAATTATATTCTCTTTTGACAGTGAGACATACCATATGTATATTTTTTGGGGGGGTTTGTTTTTTTTTTTTTATGTCTGCATACTTTGTAGCGATCTTAACTGCTGTTTTAGAAACTGACTCATTTGGGGAGTTGTAGATGCCTTAGTATTTGCATTGCTGCTATTCATTTTTTTTGGTTCTGTGCAGTAATACAATGTTTTCAGTTGTTTCTTTACCTGAATCATCAAGATAAAGCGTTTTCATACCTATCAGGCTTACAGCCTCCTGGGGCCCATGGGCTCAGGCTCTCCGGGACGCACAGCTGTAGCTGATATGAGAAGGATTTACAGAGCTAGTGTAAGGCAACACTGCAACAGTCACAATTGGCCCCTCTTTAACTCTACCGCATCTCACTTCAATTTCTCAAAGTGTTTCTCTACCTCACTGCACGCAATAGCTTTTTCTGTGGTACAGTAGGAGCAGCAGAGCCTCAAAAAACTGTGTGGATCTAAGGGGCCAGCTGGGTCTGCACTCCCTCACTTGGCTTTATCAGTGGAAATTCCTTCCTTGCTGATCGAATGACCGAGGGAAAATTATCTCTTTTTAAAACAGTTCACATTTCTTTGGGTTCAGTTTCAAATTGGCATTCTTAAGCTTATCACAGACCATTTGTAAATGCACTAGTTCCTGACTGAAAGATTTAGCATGTACCAGATTTGTTATCCATCTAGGACAAACAGTCTGAAAGAGGCACATGCCATACTGTACATTCTCCATGAGCTGTTTAAAGGTAGCAAGAGCACTACATAATCTAGAGAACATTATTTAAAATTGACAGAACATTTAGCCTACCGTAAAAGCAGTTACCTTCTAGGGCTTTTGAATACACTTCCATGTTCACCTACCCACTTAAAATCAGTGTAGAAGTTCAGCTAACCTTTCCGTAATAACAGAAGTTCCAGGCACCAGCCAAATGTCTCTCTGATCCAGTGTGGCTCAGATGCAAAAGCTTTCACGTGGTCCCATCTCCCTGAACAGAGTGAGAATCAAATGACAAGCAGCAATTGCTTCTTTTACTCTTTAAATCCACTTCTCCATTCACTCAGGGTCATGAGCTCAGTAGTTGTTCAGGCTTGCCCTAGGCTTCTTGGTTTCTCTTTGCCTTAGTGGTATTTTTCTGTTGTCTCTCTCTGATTGACCTTTTAATTTTTTTCTACTACAGTGATACACAATGCTACTAATATGTGCTTTCTCTTGAACAGTGGCATGTCTGTGTGATTCAGATGAAAGCTGTTTTTGCTATAGCTTTCCAACACCTTAGAAAATCTTCATTACTTGTTATGTTTTCCTTGATGAAAGCCTTGATGAAAGCCTACTACTGTAGCTGATAATGCTGGCTAGCCTGATCCCGCACAGTGGCAGTAAGGGCTACATGTAACAAAAGATAGAAATGTCTTAAAGTAACTGCTTAATTTTGTATCATTCCCATAGTACTCATCTTCTTTCTACAGCACATTGTGACAGAAGTGTATGAATAGTTAGAAAATCAGTTCTTTCTGCCAAATTTCATTAAATCTTTTCTGAAAGAGAAACCGACTGAGCTGTTGCTTGAACATCTTCACATCAGTTTTGCATTGTTGCACATCGTGGTCAGCTGGAGTTAAAAACTTTCAATTAAAACATGCAGCATCAGCAGAGCACAGAAATTTTTTCTGAGCAGATCATCCTGTTGGATAGTCCCAGTGTTAAAAACATGCTGATAGTACTGCAGTGTGATCCTCCCAAACCAGTTTGTGACCTTGAAACCAAGAAAGGAGGTTTTGGCTTCTGCTCCTTCAATTCACTCATCAAAACTGTAAAATTGTGAAGGGTGAGTTGGCATATGTCCTACTGAGCAGGCAGCTGCCTGAGGACAGTCTGCTCCCCATGTGCTGAGCTGCTGGGAGTTTGGGTGAGGGGTTTTCACTGTCCTCTCTGTGTGAATTGGAGCAAGAAGGAAAACTTGAAGAAACTGCCTGGCCTCTTGCCACCTCTTTACCTTAAAGATCAGCTGGTATTTGTAGCAAGTTGTTACCACTGTTAGTCAAAATCCTGTCATGGTTTGTTTGCAGGAGGCAAATGACTGACATTTTCCTTTGACATGTATCTTTGACATAATTTAACCCCATCTGGCAACTAAGCCCCACACAGCCCCTAGCTCACTCCCTCCTAGTGAGATAGGGAAGAGAACTGGAAGGGTAAAAGTGAGAAAACTCGTGGGCTGAGTTTAACAGGGAAAGAAAAGCCATGCACTCAAGCAAAACAAAACAAGGAATTTATTCCCACTTCCCATTGGCAGGCAGGTGTTCAGTCATCCCCAGGAAAGCAGGGCTACATCACATGTAATGGTTATATGGGAAGACAAAACCCTGTAACTCCAAATGACACCCCCCTCTTCCTTCTTTTCCCCTCAGCTTTTATGATGTTGTATGGTATGGAATATCTCTTGAGTCAGTTGGGGTCAGCTGTACCAAATGTGTCCCCTCCCAACTTCTTGTGCACCCCCAGCCTGCTCACTGTAAGGAAAACATCCCTGAATTATCAAAACTGTTTCCAGCAGAAATACAAAATATAGCAGCCAAAACAGAATATCTGACTTGGTCACCAGATTTGTCTGGGCTTGTTGCAGCTGTTTGGGTGTCTAGGGAGAGGTCCAAAACAGTTCCAGCCCTGAATCTCTTGGGAGAACAGGGTAAAGTGTTTCCATCTGGAACTGTATAAGGTTCTCTGTGCTGTACCAAGGTCCAGAGGCAGGCAGAGCCTGTACCCTGGGAATTCTGTACATTAGAGCCATCTCCTCAATGTCTCTAGCTTTCTCTTTGAATAGCATTGAAGAAAGAAGGAAAGTGCTTTTCCATGCTTCTGTCATCTCATCTAGCTGCAGAATTTCCCAACAGCTGTGCCTAATCTCTCCCAGGGCTACCTGCTGTGAGATGCTCGGTGGTCCTGCTCCCAGGGCATCTGGACCAGGACTGGCTCCCTTCTGCTGTGCCTTTTCCCCTACAAGACCTGGGAGAAGGTAAGGATGATGGGGCTGATGCTCATGTTTGCTGCTTGTACAGTGTCAGGACACAGTGCATGGAAACCTGGTAGCTTCAAGACATCCCATCTCTCAGCCTGGGAGGGCAGGCAGTGGCCCCACTGCCTTCTCCAGCATCATAGTGGCAGAAGGACCTGGGACCAAGAGTTGTTTATTTGCTGCCTATACTTCTGTAGTAGGCTGAATTGCAGCAGTGGGACTCATCTGCCCCTCTACTTGAATTTGACATTTCTTTTAGTGTTTTCTCAGAGGAGATAATCGATTCCCCCTCAAAAGCCACTGAAGGTGTATGTACAGCACATCTGGGCTATGCAACAGCTGCTTTTCTATATGCCAGGCAGATTTAGCACTTTATTAGAAACAGACTGAGATTTCCAGGTAGAGTTTTAAATTTTATTTTTACATAAGAGACAGTAAGTACCATATGTCTTGTTTTCAGTAACGGCTGCCACAAACTCTTCTTTTCAGAAGATTTAGAAATAAGACAAAAATAACCAAGACAACCCCTCCTCCAAGCTACAGAATCCCAACTAGTAATATTGAAAAAGAAGCTGATAATATTGATCCCTTATGCACTAGCAGTTAAACTTCAAAAATCAATGGAGAGGGAAGCTTAAATGGCCTTTCTGTAGTACCAGAATGCAAAGCTAAATCCCAAATGGAGATTTTTTAACAGCTATGAATATAGGAGATGATTTTCAGATAATGTTAAAATTACTGCTTAATACCCTTTCCTTCAGGAGAAATCTCCTGTGAGGTGCATGTGGAAAGGAATCCCTGAGTTTACTATGTTGGTTCTGTGTCAACCAAGAAGTAGCTTTCAGAGTGGTGTGAGGAAGGAGTGAGACCAGCTTGATCAGTGAGTACTCCAGTTCTGCCATCACTTCTGCCTTGAGTAACTTTAAATGTTTGTCTTGTTTGTTCAGGCAAATTCACCTCTCAGAATATAAAGCTATTCCTGCTCACCAACTGCAGAAATGTTGCTCTGGCTGTGGTCTCCCAAGTATTTGTAGAAAAAATATTACGCCTTGGTCCTCTAAGGTACCTAAGTGAGAAACCCACATTGCTAAATATCTCTGATGATCTGACTGCCCAGAATGAGTGCCTGGTATTTTTAACAGAGTAAAACTTTAAGGGCCTAGCTGTTCTTCTAGCCACATTTGTATTTCCTCCTTGTTTACTTTTAGCCATTCAATGTTGTTCTTCACCTGTTCAATTGACTGACTCCTGGGTGATTCTCCTGCCCCAGCATTAGGATATTTCTCAAAGAAATTTTCCATCTGGAAAAGAGAAAAATAATTGAAATGAAGCAAACATTGGGCAAATGGCTTTTTGCAGCAATCTGGTTGAGGGCAGTTTTGGCAGGGAGAGATATTTAAGCTCACTCTAGTAGCACTGGGATAGTTTTGCAGTAACTCATTCTGCTTTACACATTTAGAGAACAGAATTCAAGTTCCCTGGACAGTAGATTGTTAAAGATATTGATTTAAACCTGGTAGAAGTGCTGTCACCATACCTGCCAAAGCTGGAGCTCAGTGTGGAAAGTTTGGGTGATAGTCACTATTCGACCAAGGTATCTGTCATTGATAGTGAATCTAGAAAAACAATTTAATAAATGGAGCTTTATGCAAAACTATTTAAAAAAAAAGGCACAAGTAATTATCTGAAGCTTAAATTTCTAATTGTGGTATGATAAAACAGATGCACTCAGGTTTCAGCTGTTTTTAAAATACTTGAAAACTGATACCTCTATACAATATATGTGCTGTTCTCAAATAGATTTACTAATGGAGTGATCTCTATTGGGGGATTTTTTAACCTTTTAATTAGTGACTTTTGTCTCATACTGGAAATCAAGTGTATTGCTGACAAACGCTGTCCAGTTCACAGCTCTAGGCTTGCAGGTGTGCTTTGCTTCTGTGCCCTTTTCAAGCACTTAGAAAGGAGAAGGAAGGAGAAAGAAGTCACTCAAATAGGGAGGAGCAAAGTTAAAAGGTTTGCTGTTACTGCCACTGCACGTCTGCACATCTGCTCCTCGTTGTTACCACCAGAAGTTAAAAAAAATCTATACAGTCTTCTTGTTATGATATCAATAGAAAAAACAGAGACATGACTGACTAATTTCCAGGCAGTAATCATATATCTATATCCTTGGGAGAACTTTCTGTACTTTTCAATTACCATTTTTGGGTAGTGATCATTTAGGGAATGAACTGTTTTCAAGTTAACAGCAAAGAACTTTTTTTGTAGCAGGTGGATAGGATTATGTTAAATATGCTCTCAGTTTTCATTATTCAAGAGCCATTGATTACAGCTGTATAGTGAAAACATAGAAAAGCATGGCATATAACAAGATAGATAGATGGATGTAGACAAAGTTTTCAGTGAGTTCATTAGTATACCTGTCGACTAAGTACTCCCAGTTAAGTCGTATCCAGTCCCAGGTCATTGTTTTCCCGTAGGTGTTATATGAGATGTATCTCAGGACTGTGAATGCATCTTGGCTTTTGATGAGGCTGGTGTTGTAAATATATTTCAGATACCTAAGGGAAATTTCATAAAAATCAGAAAGAGCACAGAAACCAAGTGTAAGTTAACACTTGTAGACTTAATTGATGATGATGAGAAATAATGTGTATATTTCTCAAGTATTTGTCACCACAGTCTACATCCAATTTCCAGGCAGGGTTATTATTTTTGCCTACAGTATTTTAAAGGTGAAGTACACTGATCTAAAATGTAAGTTGAAAACTGGGTCAAGAGATAATTGTATTGAGAGAAATCTAAGCAGTTAGGCATTTCTTTAGAAAATAAATAGGGTTTATGTCTCTAGGTTTCTCAAAAACAGTGAGAAAACCATTAATTATTCCTGTACTTTAGTAAAATAGTGAAAACAAGATTGGTTCAGTCAATAGTCCAGCCTGTTTGTGTAGCCAAGCAACAATAAAGTCCCTTTCCTCCTCTCGAATAACCAGTACTCTGGAGGTCCTGCCTCCTTTCACTGCTTACAAAGGAAACATAGACAACTAATTTTTATTATTAGGCAGCTAAAATTATACAGGACGAAGGCACTGCTTGAAAAGCTGAAGGCTGTTGAATGTGTGAAGAAACTACCATGTATTCAATATCTTTCCACTAAAGGAGCAAGGCTTTTTTCTCTTACAGTACAATCTTGCGGGGAGGGAGGGTAGGTGTTAGATAACTGGTCTTGAAAATGTGTTGCATTCCTCATGCTGTAATCTGAAAAAACTGACAGCCCAGGAGAGAGGAGAGGGGAATAAGCAAACAGTGACCAGCTGTTTCTGTAGGGGAAGAAAAATCTTGGTGTGTTTAAATCACCTGTCCAAAAGGGTGATGTTCTTTACTGATGCCAGGCCATACAGCAGCTTTTCTTTTTCTTGAGCTAATGAAGTTTCTTGGTATTTCTCAAACATGTAATTCCACGATGTCTCATTGCCTGAGTTCTGCATCCCATACCGGTATACTAGGAGTCGGAGATTTGCAGGAATACTAAAATAAAGAGACAATACCTGAATATTCTTCCCCCTTTCTTGCTTGAGTTCTGTGACTAAGTCACATTCTGTGTTCTTCACCAGCAACAAAACCTGTGATCACTCACATTTGTCCTTGTAGCCATTGATCGAATAATTGAGAAGCATTGTTCAAAGATTCTGTGTCACCCATACTGCAGGCAAAGTCTAGAACAGACGTACGAAGGAGCCTTTAAAAGAGAGAGAGAGGGGGATTTTCCTACTTCTGTGTTCTTAAAATCCATCAATAATATGAGGAATAAAACCCTTAATAACATAAGAAGGGGAAAAAAATCTTGTTTAACCTCTCCAAATGACCTCCAACATCATTCCAGTGCAGTTGATCCACAATAGGTTTTACCAGGTGGCGGAAATATTCCTGGGGTAGAAAAAGGGGATTGGTTACTTGTGTAGATTTCTTTAAATAATATATTTGTGTTCATAGCTTATTCTCCTGCATTTTTTCCCAGAACTAGCATCTCTTAATTAAGAAATAATACAAACACACACTATCTTTCCAGATCACTACAGCCTGCAATTCTGAATGCCTGCAGTTCTGATCTGCATCTAGGACAAAGGCAACCTGCTTCTCTCTAGCCTTGCCTGTCCTCCCAAATGAAGGTTGGGGTACAGCAAGGACACACTGCCACAACTATTTTCCAAAGATAATACTGAGTTCAGGACATGCTTATTTTAGTGACCATTAACTCATGTTCAGCACGTTAGGTCAACCAACAAACCTGCTCGCTGCCACAATGAGATATAGCCACCCTTCGTGCTAAGGATGGGTGTCAGAGATTTTGCTGCCCTGTACATATTTCTTTATTGCATACAGGGCAGCCTTGACTAACAAATGTCTGTACTGTGACTTATGGTGATGGATTATAAGAATAACTAACATATTTTTCTCCTCCAGGTGCATAGTCCTGACTTGAGAATCCAAGTAATTCAGAGAACAGTACTAAGCAGTTCTCAGCACTTTTTTTTCAAGTACAGTAAAAAAAGTAAATGCTGATTGCTCAGCAACATTGAAAATGACTTAATCTTCAATATTATTGCTGTTATGTCTTGAGCTATCAGATCCAGTGCTGTCATGAAGAAATGTTTGGTTTTTTTTTCGCTTCATCACCTGAAACCGGGGGTAGAGATTTGTGTCGTCTCCAAGCATGTTTGTGAGATAAGTTACAGATGATATAACTCTATGCCATGGTAAATAGTCTGTTTCATTTATTAGGTATTTTGTGAGCTCCAGAGGAACAGAGTAATTCACTAGTCCAGATCTGTGGAAGGAGAAAACATAACTTCTGTTATTTTAATGAACTTGAAGAACTTGCTTCTTTAAAGATATTAGAACACTGTTTCCTTTAGAAGGTCTGAAATAAATTCTGGGAGGGGTAAGATAATCTCAAATGTAACCTGGGAGGTGTTTTCCAAAGAGATCACTGAGGATCACTGTTGATCAGTGCTGTGAGATGGCTGCTCACACTGTGCAGCAGGCCAGCGTGCCCAGAAGTGAGTAACTGTCAACTGACTATGGCAGCTCCTGTCACACAAAAAGGAATTGCTAGATCTGGAGACATCCTGAAAGGCTGAGGCAATTCAGACTTATAGGCTGTCTCAGAAGGTCATCTAAAGTTTATCTGTATCAGCATGGCTGGGTAAAAGAGCTAGAAGTTTCCAAGCAAACTTCTAAACAAGATAGCTGAGGTGGTAATTTCTTAATGCCATGCTATGCATTGTAGAAGTGCTTCTGATTTTCTGAACATCTTCTGGACTGCTTCTATTCTTGTTACTTACATGGCAAAAAACACCCGTAAGATCTGTGCAATTAAAGCCCTCTTTCTTTTTTCTGCCACTGAAGAGAAGGGTAGCATTTCCCTTGGCTGTGTTGATATTGCAAGTTGACAGTGCATACTTGAATTTGCCCATCTTGAAGACAACACAAGCCAATAAACAATTGTGATGTAACAAATTCTGAAACTTTCTTTCAACCACCTGAGTTACTTCCAATTGATAGTCAATGTAAAGTGAAGAGTCTGTGTTGAAATCTCTGCAGGAAATCAGTTTACCTTGCCAAAGAAAAGACATCATCCAAAATCCCTGCACGGTCAGCAGCTGAAAAGTTCTGTGTGAAAAAAGAGTGGTCAAAATATATATATTTTTTTCTGAAAAAAACGGCTTCAAAAGGCCTCTACAAGAGACCTACTGGGTAGGTTAATATTATTACACTCACTTTGTGGTTGCTGGCCAGAAGAGTGCTTAAACTGGCCCAGTTATGACTATTATAATTCACCCGATAGAATCCAATGTGGTCTGGATTAATATTCACAAAAGAATTGGGAGGTGATGGTATTGCAATTCCTGCAAAACAAACAGTGATCAGTTTGTGCATCTTACATGACACAGAACTCACTGGAGATTCTGTAACTCCAAAAGTAATATTTGGTTTTGATGAATATTGAAATGAGATGCAAACCTTCACTTTATTTTTTTTAATGGCTGTGAGTAAAGATGAGTTATTGTAGACTTTGATGAGTGCCAGCACTTGTCTTAGAATAGTGAATTATGGTAATTACTTGGGAAAGCTAGTTTGTTAAATTTAAAATGGAGATCACTGTGACTAGGGAGAGTGGTGAAAACTGGTGTCATTGTAAAAAGTAAAGTATTGCAAAGAAGCAGTTCTTGCAAATATTTCTAAAGGTTTTTTCACCCGCATGTTTACTGTTAGTTTTAAAGTTCTCACATTTTATCCTCAACTAATTTAATTTTTCAGTTTATGGCAACTAACTTTTTAAGGGTACATGAAGAGAAGAGCTGATTGTGATATTTCTGAAATTCTAACATGTGATGAAATTTAAAAACTCCCCTCCCTCCATTTTTTCCCCTTTTTGGCCACTAGAATTATAACTTCAAATTTGACTGCATCAACAATCATCAAAAATACCCATGTAGGTATTTTCTCATTCCTTAAATCAGCATTAGAAAATGTTTATGTTTAAAGCATACGTAGCTCTTTTCCTTTAACTGAACTCAGATTGCTGGTTTACCATGCCACAGGTGCGTTCACCAGCCTGCTACATCACCTCTTTCCTTAGGCTTGAAAATGGGCATATCAAATTCCTACTGGTTTTAGTACATCATAATTAAGAATATGCTTAGATGCTTTCTTGAATAGGGCTGGATTTAAACATATGCTTAAGCACTTTACTGAATTAAGCCTAAATTGACATGTGTATAGGGGAAATAATCATTGCAGATGTAACTACTAACTTTAGCTCAACAAAGGTCTGTGTTGGTTCTTGGATCTGAAAACTGTAAAGCATGAAAGTTAATTCTGTATTTTCTTTCTTGTTAAAGACATTAAAAAGCTTTATTCATTCATTACTCTTAAAAGAGAAAGGTAAGTTTACCTGCAGAATCTGATAGGTTGTAGAAAGTATAGTTTGTTGAACTTCCAAGTCTCCATTTCACTGGTATATTCCATTTGTAACTGAAATTATTTCAAGGGAAAGAGAATCAAATGACATTTGAAAGCAAATGCTAAAAATAAAATTCCAGTATATCTTTTTAATTTGTTTTAATGCTTAAATCTTGTTTTATGAAGCCAACTGTGTGCTTATGTACACATACATTTACCAAATATCCCTAGTAACAAAACATAGCTTTTTACCAATAGCTGTTGTTTGTGTTGTAAAAAGGTTTCTGTGCTATGATACTCTATTCAGGCAACAAAATGTCACATATTGGTGTGGTATGATTGGAGCAGTTACATTCCCTGAAAAGGAAAATAAAAAGTATGAAGTGTCTGAGATGGGAATAACGGTATCTTGTCTTAATACTTTGTATTTATCAATAGTTTTCAAAATTATCTTGTTAACTGAGAAAGGGATGGGATAAGATTTTGTCCACTGTCTGATGCTGATGTTTTAGACAAGTTAATATGGTACTGTGCAAATTACGTGCCTAAAGTAAAGGCTGAAAGCTGCACAACTTATCTGGTTGGGTTTGTGTTTTTTAAAAATCAATGGAACTGCTGGGGCCCTGTCCTTCTGAATACAATCTTCACCTCTTGATGACTCTGTATGCTGGAGAGGATAATAATTACCCATAATCAGAGAGAGATTAAATGAATGAATTTCCATTGTGCTATACTTTGTAGTTTATTACCACAGCTTTGGAACATGAAATCCTGTTAAGCAGTATCTTCATGTTATGTCTGATAATAATCTAGCAGGGTACAAAGCTATTAATTTAGTAAAAGATGACTATATGTGGATAGTTGATGTAGGGCTTTATGCAGGCACCAGTTAATCTTTTCAATGCTGACTTGAAATAAGTGGTTAGGTATTATTAAACCTTTTTTTTACAGATGAGAAAGCTGAATGAGCTTAAGCAACCACTGCAATACAGTCAGTAGGACCTCTTGCCTTTTCCAGACTGTTTTCCTTCTCCAAGATAATCCTAATTCTTCCAAAAGTGAGGCACTGGATGAAAGGGAGCCACAGCACAGCCTGATCAAGACTGTGACCAGGTAGTCAGGGAAGCAGGATGGCAGAGCATGCCATGAGCATACCTGCACAGCCACCTGCATAGGGCTGCTAAAATTGTTAAGCCATTTTGAGAAGTCAGCTGCTGTTCCATGTTAGCATATTACAGTCCATCCCAGCACTAGTTTTTGAATTTCCATTTCTTTTAAGTGCCAGCATTCAGGAGAGGACTCTTTTAAGCCAAACAAATTTGAAACAGACAGCTCAGGAGACTATCCTTGCAGGATTCAGGAGTTTTTTCAAGGCCTGGAGTTTTCACTGCTTAAATCAAAACCCTGAACCTGGAAATTAATTAGGCCTTTCCCATCTGGGGTAGGATCTCTTCAGGAGTCTCCTCATCTGTGAGGGTGGAAGGAGGAAGTATTGATTTTCAGTGGATTGACTTTCAGGCAAGGGAGTAAGATAGATAATATCAACATTATAATACATATTACTGCATTTTATTTCTAAGTAATTTATAAAGCTTACATATTCAAAACCAAATTCCCCTTTCACTTTGGAAATAGCAGAAGTAGTGCACAGTTCAGCTTCTTGACAGGTTAAGGTAGGCACAACACTGGGATTTCTATTCAAGAAATGACAAATGGCAGTGTACTATAAGTCCTGAAGTCAAGCCAAAGCATGATTCCTGAGTATGCTACCTGAGAGCATAGTGCAATAAGTCAAAATATTTAACACAAACAGGTATTTTTTTCCTGAATAGTGTGTAGAACCAGCCTTCAGATGGCACAGTGCTGTAGTTTGCAGCTAGAGTTGCTTCAAAACCCTGCAAGCTTTTCTGCTTATATTGGGAGAAATACAACATTGCAAATACACAGGTAATTATCTCATCCCAGCTCTTTTGCTACCTATCCAAAACTGCCAATACCATGGGACTTGTCATTGCTCAAGTTTTTTCTTTTGAATCACAATGAAATTAAGCTCCACAACTGTTTCTCCTTGTTCTTGCTCTTTGTACTACAATAACTAGTATAAGCTAATGCAAAATTGCATTTGGGTAGATTTAGTTCTGGTTCATACAGGCAAGTTTTACTGGTTTAGTTGACTGGGATAGTTCAAGGAATGAAAACTTCCTAATAAGAGTTAATTTGAATCTTTTTCACTGAAATGTTAGCAAAATTGTAATGCCTCAAAATTAGGCCTGGCTAAGAATATACACAATGCCAGCTCTGAACATTCATTCAGCTGGTTGATGCCATGGTGCAGCCAAGACAGTTTTCTGTGCAGGTCCATCAACCTGCGAATAGGGTTCATCTCCTTTCAGGCTAGTCATCTGTTAATTGACAAATATGCTCCTATAAAGAATCCCTCCTACCTTGAATACAGTAGGTGAATGTCTGCAGCTGTCTGACTGCCACATAAGAGTCCAAGGTGGCTAACTTTGACTAAATAACTATCTTTTAGATGAGTAAAATTATGCTATACTGTCCTGAGTTAAATAAGAAAAAATAGCTCTTGAGGAGGATTAGTAACATTTATACATGACTAGCTATTTCACAATAACTCATGTTTTTAAGATGTATAAAGAAGACCCTGTATGGTGTGTGAAGACCCTATGATGTGTTACAGATCCTATATCACATAGGAGAAGGAATAAACTCTCATGGTGCAAAATACCTGGGTCATGGTGTTTGGTTTCTGGGCAGAGACAATTTTGTCTCAGTTTTCCTCAGTCTGTCAGATTATATTTTGCAGTGGTTCAACAGATGGCTTGCAATCATCTGAGTTATCTATGTGTGGAAATAAATTTTCTGGAAGACTCTGTCCAAGTCTACTCTGCTGTGTTTGAGAAAGAAACCCTGAAGCAAAGGGCTGGTTATGTCCTAAATTTAAAATATTTGTGTCTAATTTCTGCTGGTTTCTTTTAAAAAACAAATGCTGAGAGTAAGTTTAGCCAGAATGAGTATAACACTGACTGTGTGTATTTCAGTTGAAGAAAGCATCTGTACAGTATTTCTGCCTGTTTTGGGTAGACATTTACAGCAGGAACTTACCCAAGATCAGAAGGAGGGTAAGAAGCATCTGCATTGGGATCCAAGAGAAAACGTTTTTGTGTGAATACTGAATTAGTTCCCATCTCCAAAACAGGGTAGCCCATCTGCCTAGTCCATGTGTCCATGACTTCTTTCACAGGTATGTCACTTGCCTATGAATGATGGGAGAAGGTTGCAGTGAAAAAGGAAATTCAGTCCAAAGTGGAAAAAAAAAAATATCTCTGATACTGAGAGAAAGAAGAGCAGAAAGGGGAAGAGGAAAGAGTATGTTCACTGCAAAAAATATTAAATCCTTTTGTGGTGCCTGTCATTGACAGAAGAAATGAGCTGGAAACTTGAACACAGACTAAGAAAATCAGAAGTATGTGGGCAGGAGACTAGCTAGTAACATGGACAAGAAATACTGAGGAAACTTTGAGGCCCCTTGTATGTTCTAAGATTATTCCATTTTTTTCTGAGAAAACAACTGATCAGGACAGAAAGTACATAAAGAGATTTTTCAGAGCCAGAAGTCCCCTTGCAGTATAAGTGCACTTATGAGTGTGAAGCCAGTAATAAACATTAGCAGCTGCACTAATGTAAAATGTGATCCATTCTGTGGACTGTGAACTTCTATCCTAGAGACTGGTGCTGCAAAAAGCTGCCACTGCCTGCCCAGGGTGCCATCTGTGAGGGAAGGGAGCTAAAGGTCACAGTTTCCTTCTTCAGATAAGTAGATGGTGTCAAGATGCAGACAGAGAGCAGGAAGAAGTCTGGCCCAAGGAAAAGAGGAAAACTTGAAAGAAGACACAAGTTGGTCTGTGTGAATGTCCATAGTGGTGGAAGAAAAGGTGGTATCATTGGGGAGAAACATGGCAGTATGCATGTGGGCTTTTGGGGGTAATGAAATAGATGGAAAGAGACAGGCAAACCTTAAGGAAAAATTAGAAAATTATGGGATAGAGAATGACCCAACTCAGAAGGGAAAGAAAGTAGATTTAGATTAGACATCAGGAAGAAATTCCACCACTATGAGGGTGGTGAAGCACTGGCACAAGTTGTCCAGAGAAGCTGTGCCTGCCCCATCCCTGGCAGTGCTCAAGGCCAGGTTGGACGGGGCTTGGGGCAACCTGGTCTGGTGGAAGGTGTCCCTGCCCATGACAGAGGGTTGGAACTGAATGTTCTGTAAGGACTTCTCCAGTGCTATTCTATGATTCTGTGACTCAGAAGCTAGAAACAGAGATAAGCAGCAAACTTACTTGGGAATGGATACTGTTGAGAGGTTTCGAACAGCTGAATCTAGTTAGAGATAATGGAGAGTATGAGGTGCATATGTGTGGTGGATGAGGAGTGTTTTCACCCATGAAGTGAGTTTGAGTTGTGGGGGAAATTTTTCAGTAGCAGGCTGTTTATTAGCAAGGTGTCCTTTCTTGTTTCTTATTCCACTCCCACAGTCTTATAAAAAAAAGTTGAGGAAATAATATATTCGCTAGATGTAAGATGCGTTGGGATATACTGCAAGGCTGCCTAGCTTGTGGTCTCTCATTAGTAGAAAAGCTACAAAATATAAAAATGTTGGGAAATCAATGGGTGAGATATGAAACGTTTATTAGTAAGGGTTTGGGTTGTTGCAAAACATACCTCTTCCAGAGCTTCCCAAAATTGATCTGTCTTGGCATTCTGGAAATGGTGTTTTTTCAAATATATCTAGAAAGAAATAGAAGACTGTGAAAATACTACCAGGTCTTTCTTTGCCTATGAAAACATATTCAGTTGTATAGAGATATAGAGGGTACAGAGAGCATGATTTGTAGTATTGGGAGCTGGAGGTTGAATGGATCAATATTCAGCTGATGAAGTTCCTTTGTTTTCCAATGCATCCTGTAATGCTGAAAGTCATCATTTTCCAGTATGACTTGTTAGTACAAAGCTAATTTGTATTTGAAGAGTTATTTATATTTTGTTTGAATGGACATCAGCGTACCCTGTTGCAAATTTCTGTCTGAGGTTGTTCAGAAGGAGGAAGCTGTTTCAGGAGGTTTCACTAGCTGTGGACTCAGAGTGAAAGAGGAAAGTCTATTCACCTCTAAACTGTGATAAAAATGATTGTTGCAAGGAATAATGGTATTCAGGCAAGTGTTTGCACCTCCTAAACACTCTTCCTGTTCTGTGTCTTACCTGGCTGCTTCACAAGTGTTTTTCTGCCGTTATCGGGATCCTGGTGATGTTTAGTCAGTAGATGGTGCTACTTGTTTCACTGTTAGCTACCACTACCTATTTCAATGATCTTGAAGGGTCTGTGTTAATCTCTTGTGAACAAGGTGGCTGTATTTTCACATCTTGTGGAACTATCCTGATTGAATATATGAAAGGAAAAATAAAGGAAAATACAACCGTCTTGTAGCATCCTACAAGTGTGCTCTCCAGGAGGGAGGGAGGTAAGAACAAATGTGGTAGCCTGTGCTATAACACTTCAAAGATGACAGATGTCAGTTCAGTGTAAAAGGCAGATAATCTTCCTCTTTTTTGGGAGGGCTCCTTTCTCCAATTTTTTCTTTGCATAATATTGTAGCATCATCCTTTTTCTTCCACAAGAAAGGACTATGAAATGTGCAATATCTCCCCTTTTACCTTGGTAAATTTCTAGGGCTGGGTGCCCCTGCAATAGGGCACCGATGAGCTAATGCCTGTGAAAGTGCCCCTGCATCGCAGGCTTGGGTGGGTTGGAGGACCGTGGTGATATGAAGCTGCAGATGGTAAAGCTGACAACAGGAAAACAGTGGGGTGGAGGAGGTTTCTCCACTAAAAGCAGTCATGAATTTTTGTCCTCACTGGCAGGCTAGCAAATCTTAATGAAGTTCACATTCCTTCTTCTATGGGAGAATGGAACTTCTTCCCCTTGATGTTGTCCACTCAGTACTGAAATGCATTAAATACTTTTGTTACTAATAGCAGGATCTCTGATCTTAATTTTTTTAATAATGATTTTGCTACTGTCACATGAGGATGAGCTGTATTTCTGGCGTGTTTTGGTGCCACCTTTACCTGACAGCCTTTCTGGAAGAGGTCTGGTGTCATTAAGTCTTGAAGCATTCTGAGGATTGATGCACCCTGAGGACAAAGGGAGAGGGTTAGGTCATTCTGAAGGTCATTCTGTGTAGAAGGTCATTCTACACAACTTTAACACTGAATTTCCATTAATCTTAAAAGCAACATGTGAATGAATATTTTATAAGGCAGAAATAGAAACCATCCATCTGAGAAAAGAAGCGTTTTTTCCGATTCCATCATAGCGTGGCATGCTTGTCTGCAGGAGCTTAATTCTGGATGTAAGAATGGGTCTTTAACTGTGATCAGACATGCATTTCCACATCCAGCTGTGTTAGCAGAAGGGCTCCCGAACCCTGCTGCTGGGGATTACTGTCTTGCCACTCTACTGGTTTGTGTGAGCAGGGCCCCCTGCTTCTCTATGAAGAGGACAGGGGTGAGAGCAGCTGGGAACTAGCGCTGTCCAGCAGCACAGCCTGATAGAGGAAGTGACTTCAGTTGAACACCCAGCAGGTAGGAAACTCAAAAAATGCTGCAAGTCTGGGCCTTTCCATGTTGTGGAAGTCATCTCAACATTCATGATGAGAATTTCTGAGGACTTGTATAAGACCTTTGGCCTCTGAAGCACGGTAGAAATTGGATCAGAGAACCTACTTACTTGGGCTTCACAGAAAAACAACAACTCGGACCTTGAAAGAATAAAGAAACAAAGGGAAGATAGGAGAGAGAAGCAGAAGAGTCACGTGGAACAAAGTGGGGCACAAAATGATGAAAAACAAAAGCAGTGCAAACCCAATCTAAAATGCAAAATATGATTTTAGGATTATCATATTTTCATTTTCCCAACTAAATCAAAGGGCTGCAGAGAGCCTAATGCCATGAATAGTTTAAAAATCCAGTTGTCCCATGAAAACAAGAATGTTATCTGAATTCTCAGTAAATCCTGTCTCCTCTATTTAGGTGTTTGAGAATAACAACTTGATTGCACAATGTATGGCAGAGGGAGTGTTGGAAGAGATATGCCCCAAACTGCTTTCCAGACTATTGTTGCAGAGTCAAGGTGGTTAGCAGATGACTCTTTTCCGATACAGTAATTTAGCATGCTTGCCATGAAATATGTTCAAAAATTATTCAGTAAAATTTAGAACAGATATCCATCATAAAAAATGTTTATGATTACTCTAATAATGCATGTAAGGCCACATGTATGCACTAGAGTAGCTCAGTTGCTCAAATTTGTCTATCAGCCACATACCTGATATCACCTCTCATAGACCATCCCCTCCCATTTATATTAAAAGTGAGAGTAGAAATACTCATTTATGCATGCATTTGGGAACAGTGAAGATTTCTTTTGCTTTAAATTGCAGTGTCTAGTTAGCCCCTTGCATCTTCTGCTGCTGTTTTTCAGTCTCTTCCGCCTGGTTTTGTTATTTGTCTGTAGTCTATGGTGAAGTGCATTTGAGAATAACTCAGATGCTCCTATAACTGGTTTAATAATTTTCCTTTCTTTCAACTATCTGGGGAGGTTCAGAGAAGTGACCTTGATTTGAATGGCTGACCTTGTCTGATGGGGATGTGGGGGGGGGAGTCTTTTATCAACACCCACATAACTTCTCCTAAAGAGCTGTAGCAATTGCCAAGTATATGACAAGATTGTATATGGCAGAAATATGGAACATTTAATCCTAAACTTCTTTAGCTGGGAGGTTCCAAAAGTGTGGGGATCTAAGAGCAAATTTCTAGCAGAACTTAAATTTAAGCATCTGTTTTTCTGAAAAGGTAGTCAATGTTTGAAGTCCAAAGACAAAAAAAATCTCATTGTTACTTTAACAGAATCTTTTAAACTAAGAAAGAGGATTAAACTGGAAAAGAGGTGAGACACAATTACTTTTTAAGAGCATATTAAACAAATTTATATGCATTAATTGTGTAGTCACCGACTCAACTTTAGTAGAGCTTTGCTAGGCACATAATGCACTACTGATCATACAACAGTTAAATGTTCGCTTACAGAATATACTGCAACGACTCCCCAGACCCTTAGGCAATTCATTAGAGTTTTAGGATTGTATAAGCCCTATAATTGCTCTGGTAAAACTAGCAGAGAGCATTCCAAAACATGCTTTATTTGTTTAGTGATGAATATTACTGTGAGGAGATTGTTTTCATAAGAAAAATGCAAAAGAGAAGCCAAAATAAAGCCAAAAAGAAACAAGTTAATTTTTTGTCACGCATTTATATGTAAATACCAACAGAAATTTGAGCTAAACCTACACGAAGACTTTCTCATTCAAGCCAAATTATATCCCAAGCAGACTGTTCCCATACAATGCATGAGTCCTCAAGTGTTTTCATTTAAAAAAGAAAAAAATGAGTTCATGTAGCAATTATCTAGGCACAAACAGATGAGTAAAAGCTAGGGTTTTTTTTCTCCATTGTTTGTTCAGACCATGCAAAAGTATGTCTCTTGCTTAGATCACCATTAAAATACATTTTGGTCCAGAGTATTTGATTTAGCTCTGTATGTTTCTTGACTTTTTGTTAGTTTGATTTAAGAACAGTGTTACACAATGCAGGTTTTCACAGAGTTTATAATTTGACTGTGAGGCATTTATGATGCAATAAATACTGGTTGTATTGTTGGATAGAGGATTTAGCAATTGAAAACAGAAAAGTGATGGAAATGGATGGAACAAGTCTAGCTAATAAAAGTAATATCTACAGCTACGGACTAGCACAGCTAAAGCTAAAGTCAATGCAATACATCCTTTGTGTTTAGCCAATAATGGGAGCTTAGTGGGAAAGCAACAAGCAGTATTTAATAATGGTGGATTTTGTGTGTTTAGTGGAAACTTGTTATGGCATCAGATAGGAAACACTGACTGAGTCATACAAGAAGCTGTCAACACAAACATGGTGTATGAGGCTCAGAAGTAACATGGGAGTTTGCTGGTTGAGGAGAGAGAGTCCCAGCTCCTTCCTCATTTTGTTGGCATATATGGGGGTGAGAGGGAAGAGGGACAGGGGTGTTTTCTCCTGTTCTTCTTCAGACTTGTCTTTCAATGCACTGAAAAAGAATAACTAGAAGCAAGCGTTGTCAGAATAACTAGAAGCAAGTGTTGTCATTGCTCGAGTCAAGGGACTCCCTCGTTAGATACCAGATAGATAGGGAGTCTGGGGGACACGTGCTTTGTTCCATGTCTGAGGTTGTCTAAGGACAAAATGGCTTTGGCTATATCTGATATGGAGTGAGACAAGTTGGCTTCAGAATCCTAGTCTGGATCTTAGCTGATCACATCAAAGTGGTGATCCTCAGCATGGCAGCCGGCCTCTCTAATGCTCTGGACCTCAAAGCAGTTTTCTATAAGCGCTGAGCTCCTGGCTGGTGTCCCACACAGCTAGTGCTACTAGAGGCTGTGGGTGCAAGGAGCCTTCTGTGTGCCCTGGTCACAGCAACAGCTGGATTGTACCAACATCCTAATACCTTGCTGCTCAGAAAAATCCAGTGTATTCTTCCAGTCAGTTCCAGCTGGCTCCTGAGAGAGCCTTTATGGCCACAGGTCCCCACCACCACTGACAGCGACAGCCCCAGGATGAGCATAAAGCTTGTCAAATACCTAATGTGGTGTTCACTACCATCTGCAGTCAGTCCTGAGCTCTACAACTGTTAGTGAAACGTGGAGCTAATTTGTCTCCCAGGCTAGGGCCAATGCCAGTAGAGGCTGGTGTAGTTCATCTTTGGTAAGGCTTCTAGAGTGGCTGGGATACTGTGAGCAGTATGAGACAGAAAGTTACTTTCCTGTTGTCACTGCTTGGTTATACTGCCTCAAAGGTGAGATGGGAAAGTGAGAGAGTGGACACCTAGACATCTGCTCTTGCATCATAGAATCATAGAATAGTTAGGGCTGGAAAGGACCTTAAGATCATCAAGTTCCAACCCTTGCATTATTAGATTATGAGGCTTGACATAACTGGGCTGTATCATCGCATGAGGTGGTGGGAGAAGGATGTGCTTAGTATATATTTTTGGATAATTTTAAACCCAAAATCTCCAGTGGCAGAACCAGCTGACGCTGTGATATCCCTGCATGTCTGTGTGCAGGTTTGGAGCACAGTGGCTGACTGAGGTTCTGGCTGCGCTGCTTCTCTCACAGTTGCTTTTGATTGAATCACCACTGACAACAGTCAGAAATGTCATAGGAAAAATATCCACACGGACACAGACCAAGTGGGTTAGGAGCTATTAATATAAGCTCTCCTGAGTTTATAATCTCCCTTTCCAAGCCCCATTTTTTTTGCATCTAAAGTCACAACAGGAGGATACCCTACCTTACTGTAGGATATCCCATCAAACACAGACGTGATTTCAGCTGTAGATGACACATCCACCACAATTGGATGGGAAGACTGCAAAGAGTCATCCATCATTACAGGAAGCACATCATCAATTAAAACCTGTTCAAGCTGAGAAAGAGAAGGTGTTAGGATAGAAACAAACGCAGGAGTATATGACTAACTTCACAAAATAAGTAGCTTGAACTGCAGCTTCTCTAGGGAGAGGCAGTAGGAAAATGGAATGAAATTTTACTTCCCCTAAAGAAGGACTTGCAAACATCTGCTTTATGTCTGAGCGGGGAGGGGTAAATTTTTTCCTTAACTAAGATAAATTGCCTTTTGAAAATCCTGCTTTCCCATGTGTATCATAACACAAAACCCCACACACTAGGCAAAAAATGGAATTGCATTACCAATTTCAGAAATGTGACAATATCTGCAACACATTATGGGTTCCTCTTGCAAAAATGGAGCTCAAGAGGAAGAGAAGGAGGGAGGAAGGATGCAGATTCCCCATCCCAAGGTTTATGGTTTTTTAAAGGAATTATTAATTTTTATTATTAATTATAAATGATAAATGATAAATTATTAATTATTAATTTTTTAAACAATGAAGTTGCCGGCAGTCAAAATCCCCTTACTTCCTAATCAATATTGACTGAAAAAGACTAATTCTCTATTTAGTTTTCCTCTTCTACTCACTAGGATGCTAACACTGAAATGGCTTTAGATTTTAAATGAACATGGTATCTAGATACAAAAAGCTATTTCAAATTTTAGGCTCATTAATTACTTCTTTTTTTTTTTTTTTAATGTAGTTACCACAACAGATCCTCTACTCCAAAGTGTAAAAGAAGTGACCCAGGAATGATTTTATTCTCAGCCTCACATAACGTGGATGAGAAGAGATATTTATGGGGAGCAGGGGGGAAAGCCGGGAAAGCACCAAATAAACATTGCCTGCTTCTAAAGTCACTAGGTGAAGGGGTGAGTAGATTTTGACAACAGGGTCAACCTCTGCAAACCTACCCTCCTTCCTTTCACTGGCATATGTTATATATTTTCTGGTAGCCAGAAACTCATTACACTTGTACAGCTGAGGGAAATATTGCATGCTATGTGCCATTGCATCTGTTTGGGAGGGGAGGAAGGAGAGAGCAAGCCTCCCTTTATTCACATGCTGTTATCATTCCTCAGAGTATAATGCATACTTACAGCTACCCTTTTGTCTGCAACCCCCTTAAAGTGACTGGAGTTTGTTTTGCTGCACAGCCAGTGCTGTGGGCCATTCTCTATCACTACCTTTTTTTGCAGTGTGTGTACTACAGATTGTCTGAGCTGGGGCATTTGAAATGACACTTTAAATGCTGGCAGCAGCTGAATGGGGGAGCTGATATTTTCCTTAACAAATAGCCCAAACTGTGAAGGCAGGCCCAGGTTCCCAGCCCTTAGACAAGTCTCATGAAAAGACACTACAGCCGAACTAAATAAATGAGAAACTCCATCTTCCAGTGTTAGACCTTCCAACAACCTTGCAAAATTGCTAAAGTTCTGTCCAGGATCCACCAAGTATTACTTGCCATAATAATAACCAAACAATTGACCTACTTTGTTAAAAAGAATGACTTTTCCATGCAGACCGATACTTTACAAAGTTTTGTTTGACTAGTCTCAGACTATAACATAGGTAGGTAGAGAAGCTTAAAATAACTTTATGTTGCATTGCACTATGTTAGTTTTCTAAAAACATACTTTAAATCTTCATCATCCTTGTCTAATTTTTACTCCTTTCCAAAATGCCTCCCTCAGCCCTGCCAACCCTCCACAAGACAGAAATAATTACCATTTGCCAATCTGGTTCTGCAGCATTTACTCCCAGGAACTCGAAATAACTGGCAAATCCTTCGTTTAACCACAAGTCATCCCACCAATCCATGGTCACAATATTTCCAAACCACTACAATTATAAACATTGTTTATGTTTAGTGTTAGCTAAATGGTAAATGTACATTTTAGTGTCTCACATCTCCATATATAACATTAATTTGTTCACTTTTCTTCCTATTGCAAGATGAAAATTACCATAATACTGGGGTTTAAGTAGGAATTCAGGCTTCGCCTTGTGTTAAAACATCCCTTGTATTATAAAATTGCATATTACTGGGGAGATTGCTAATGATTCATGAGCCAATGAAAAATTTTAGTTTCTTCCTCTTGATTTGATGATTTGTGCTTGTAAGGATATGTTTTCAGGCAGCCCCTACAGTGTATACTTCTCCCTATTTGTTTGCTTGAAAGAGACATCTGCACATGCAAATTAGTTCCTAAAAGACATTTCAGAGACATTTTCATAAACTGGCTCACTGTCTGGACCTGAGCATCTACCTTCCAGAGAAGAATTCAAAGGCAGTAGGTAAAGCTCTAACGGGGAACTGTTTTAACATGAAATTTTGCAATCAAATTGTGAGCACACATAGAAGATCCTGAGATGGAGTGAAGAACAGTATTTGCAAAATAAAAACATTGGGAGTACCCTTTTGAAGCATGGTAAAAGTGAATCATAAAAATGTACCTGATGAACAAGCTCATGGGCTATCACAGCAGCTACTCTCTGTTTGTTGGAAGTGGCTGACTCATTGGGATCATACAGCAGGTTTGTTTCTCTGTATGTGATCAGCCCCCAGTTCTCCATAGCACCTGTCCCGAAATCTGGAATAGCTATTTTATCTACATTGAAAGAAAGAGAACATGATTACCACTGTATCCTTTATGCCACTTATCTGGGCCTCTTACTGTGTATTCACAGCCTGTTTTGCTTACCATCTGTGGTTCTGGCTTACTACTGTGGACTGCAGTCTCTAACCTATGTTTAAGAAGCTGGGAACTGGCCTGGAGCAGCTGATAGCAAGGCTCCACTGAGATTAATAGAGATAGCAGCAATTGCACTACTGGGGATCTGTCTTGCGAGGTGATGGTATGCCACCTCCTGGGAGCATGCATATCATACATTATTTAATTTTGGCTCTAGAAATTAATAGTATTGTCTGGGGATGTGTTGTAGGCCCTAAACCTGAAACTATCCACAGCATAATGAGGCACGCTGTTGTTTGTCACACTGTTGTATTAAAACTATTTATTGACATGTTAACTGAAGTAAATCCCCCATGTCGTGAACAACATCTGCTTCTATTCCTGGCAATTTGTGGGGGTCAATACAGGTTTAAATTAGAACTGTGAGTTCAGTTGGCCTGGCATTTTCTTCTGCAAATAATGACCACATTATTTGGGGTTGCTGAAAAAGTGCAGGTGGATTTAAAACTCAATAGAACAAACAACCTCACCCCACCCTAACAGAAGATAAGAATTTCTTATTTTAATTTAAACAATTTGATTACAGAATCAAAGCTGATAGTCTGCCAAGGGGTTCACCAACAGTCTAAATGAGAATCACAAAGAGAATGTCAATGCCAAAAGCCATAAATCAACATGAAACATAGTATTTAAACAAATCATTATGCATAAACATATTTGATTCATCAGGGTTGATCTTGATGTCTTCTTATACAGAGAGAACAACATAATAAGTAAAGATCTGTTATCCAACAAATAGACATTCTGAGAGGAACAGTATAACATCTGCAAGAGCATCTACCTTCTGATACTGCTGACCTGGGATTACCAGTCCACCCTGTAGTGGAGACAGGCCCTTATCCATACTCTGAAGAAAGTTTGAATATGAAGCATAGGTAAGATATAGTCTCAGTTATTACTGGGTGTATGAAAGAACTGGTTTCCCTAATTCAGTTGTTATGCAAACAAATATTTACAGTAAACTCAGATGATGTTTTTTGAAAGGATGTAAAAAATCTGTTGTTAAAGTAACAGAGGTTAGCCATACATGTACATGTATGAACAGCCAGTAGAAGGTTTGCATAGCATTGTTAATCATCTTCGAAGTTGTTTGTTTGTTTGTTTTTCCCTATTACATTGGCTTAACTTGTTTATAGTTAATATTTTTACATCCTTTTAAGTTCATGAACCTAACTGAATTACCCCTTTGGAGGTCTCAGGAGGGGGCATTTCCAAAACCCTGATTACATTCTCTACTTTATTAGTTCAAACTGCACAAATCAGATCCAGAATCCAAACAGCCGAGCTAGAGGACACCCAACTACACAACTTTTTCTTTGCTTGTTTTGTAACCATGGGCAAAATTTGATTGTGTGCCCACTGTTGTTTAGCTTTGGGTCTTTATTTAGCCCAGCAGTAGAAACAAAAGTTATATGCTGGACCACGCTCATTCTAAGAAGTGGATACACACCCACTTTGCACTAAGGTTAATAAATAGTATGACTTTCTCTCTGGCCGTTTGCATCCTCACTTATCTCACTGCAGACTTCTGTCCAGAAGTTCCCATGGAAGTGGTACATATTTTTCTCAGACTTCTTCTGGCTCTACTTTAGCTCATGATATTCCTTTGCTGATGACACCAATGCTTCCTTGATTTTCCACAAGATGCTTGACAAGACACGCGGGGACTGGTGCTTCAGTTCAGCAAACTGAACTGTGAGAACTGGTAACAAAACGGTTACTGAGACCAACCCTCATGACATTTAAGAACATCTTGAACCACATGGTATGGTTTTAAAACCTCCTGACATCATAGCAGCATCTAGCAACTAAATGCTTTTGTGCTATTTTCCACCAAAGCAGAAAGACCTTAAGGAGAAACATAACTGTTACAGTGAGTTAATAAAATGGAAAAAAGTAAGTAATAATAATCACCTAGTTTTGGAAGAGAATAGCTCACATTAAAGTACTCTTCAAAGAAGTCGAATACAGTTTTTGTTACATTTGCTGCATATTCTGCTGTGTGTATTTGCAGTGGCTGGGCATAAACTCTCAGCTGTAAAATACAGAGTGACAAGTCTTCAGTTAAAAGAAGTTAGAAGGTGGCAAGCATTGAAAAGTCATTTAACATACATACCTATAACACTGCAGGTTTTCCTAAGAGACTGGCCTGAATAATGAATTCTGTTCCATAACACATTGATTCCATAAACTTTTTCAAATATTGCATGTAAGGGAGACCAAGTCAACATAATCTGTGCACGCCAGAGTATGCTTAAATTGTGAAATGGCAAAACCCATGTTCAGAAGCTCACAGAGGCCAATCTTGAAGCAATGCCTTGGTGCATATTAGCCCCTCCTTCCCCAAGGTCTAGTTTTCTCAAGATGGAAGCCCAAGTAAGCACAATTGAAGGGAATCCACTTGTTCTGAGCAGTTCATTGGTCTAGAATGATCCCATCAGATTGATCTTTAGGAGCACAGCTATACTGAAATCTGTCAGAAGCCCATAACACCTTATTTTCTTCAATTTCTCCCTACCTTTTCTACCTACTGCCACCACAATTTCCTCTTGTCCTTTTATGCTTGAAGATCTCAGACCCTTTGAAGTTAGTGTGTTTACCAGATCTGTAAGTCTTCCTGGGCATGCTGACCCATGCAGGTTGAGTGGCTGGTTGCCTGGGACCTCAGGCCATACAGCCACCCGGTCACAGTTAGGGTGCCTGCTGGGCTGCTGCACTTCTGGAAATACCAGACAAAAATTAACTCTCTGGCTCTCCTCCAATCAGGCAGATCCAGGAAAACTGGCCTGTTTGGTAGCTCTGTGTGTGACGAGTGACCATTTCTCTGCTCCTTTTGCATATCTGAACATTCTTTTTTTCCTGAACACAAAAATTAGTGTGTTGAGTGCTGCCCTTTCCATCTCTGTGGCTTGGTGCCTGTACTGCTTTAGCTATTACTGTCAAGCAGCAGGAAATCTCATGCCCTGGAGGACTAGAGCCCTTATGGCACCCATAAGGATGAGGAAGCCTACAGCTTGAAAAAGCTTTGTGGGATGTTACCTCCACATCATGAAGACAAAGTTCAGCTTCAGAATTTATGGAGCCTTTTGGGGGTCTTTCCCTCAATCTCTTTATCCCAAATCTCACAGAGGTCTCTGCCCCAGAGCAGAGCCATAGCACTGGAGTGTCCACTGGCAGGAGCTATAAGGTGTTCTCTTTACTGTCCTCCACAATCTTCAGTGTGGGAAGTAAGAGGTATTTATTTGGAGTGAAGTTTCTGGCTTTAGGAAAATGGACCCATCTAATTTTGCAGGCTCCGTGACTCTTATGAATGGGCCACATTTTTCTGCCTGTGCTGGCGTGGCTTGTTTACTCCTCAGTGCTGTCTTACAGCCAGGAGTTTAGAGTCCAAATGGAGCAAAGGAGCTGGCCTACTCTAGAAGCCCTCTTAGAGCTTGACAGCACATTGATTTCGATACCATGAAATTACACTCTCTCCAGTGAGAGGGGAGGATGGGTAAGTGGTCAGAAATAAAGTTGGAATGAAAAAAACAAAACCAAAAAAAGCTTATGAAATTCAATCGGGAATTCATTCCAAGCCCAGGGATTTCCCTCAGGGTCAGTTTGCAATTACAGTTTGCAATTTCCACTTCAGTAAGCTCTTCACCCAATTTAGCAGTCTTTGGTCCCCTAGCTGATCCATGTTAATGGTTTCCAAAACCTTCAGCATGCACTAGAAGTGACTTTGGGTTTCATTTGTATAATCTCCTCTGTGATTTTCCAAACCAGACATTTGGTACCTGACAGGTAATCAGCTCAGGAACATTGTTTCCAGCTGTAAGCTCATTTCCTACCACTGATTCCATTAATATCTTTAAGACAGAATGGCAGAGTTTTTAAATAATTTACTGTGCCACGTGAGCTGTATGCTGTTGCTGTTGTTTATGAAAGCAATATATGGATCACATGGATTCTTTCTGTTGGATGAGGGATTTATAGCTAGCAATTTATACAGCAAACTGTGGAATGTTCTTTTCAGCAGTCTGTGAATCTAAATACCTCATTGCTCGGCTGGGCTTCAAAGTTTTTGGAAAGGAACACTTTGGTCAGGAGAAGGACTTTCTAAATATCTGATTAAAAAACTCCAAAGGTAGCCTGGTTTTTCCTGGAGAAAAGGTAATTTTTAGTTATGGAGGTTAAATGGCTCCCTTAATTAAGAACATTCTTACACATATACTTTATATTGGTAAAGCTAAAGTCCATGGTAAGAGAAAGGAAATGGTTATGATTTTAACCTCACTTAAAAACCCAAGTGTGGGCAACTCGAGTGCAGGCAAGCCCTCAGACATTATTTAGTGAATAGCATTAATAAAATATGTAGTAACCAAGGTCTGAATTAGAAGATGTTTCCTCAGGCAACCTCTGTACTGACATGAACACTGCTGCTTCTACACACACAGCTTTAATTACCACATTTCAGTGGAACACTCCCTTTTATTTAGAAAAGTTACAAGCAGTCAGGAACATTGTGGCTTTACTGTTTTGCTTGGAGGGAAAAAAAAGTAAATATTGACCATAGCCATAGTCTAGAGCATGGCATGGATAAGCAGAGAATGCTAACTTTTGCACCTAGGAAATAGAGTTTTACATGCTTCCCCCACCATATTATATTGTACAAATCTGCACAAATTCTGATTCTGAACTTAACTGTAGAGAATATCTATCAAGGCCAAATAATCAAAGTCCTGCCTCTGATAGTGAATGGAGCAGCCACGCTTATCTGGTTAACAAAGTTGTGTGACTGGGTGGCCTAAAACATTTCCCTGTTTTACAAATTAGTAAGCCAAAAACAGGGATCTAAGAATATTGCGTTGCTATCTCAAACCAGGCTCTGTTTGCTTGGCTAAGTGTAATTTAGCCTTCGCTATTTGTCAAGAAATAATATAAACATAACACATGATGCTAGCGAGGGTGTAGAGGAGGGAGGCCTCAGCACAGTGCTGTGCCAGGAAGTCTTTGCTAAGAACTGGATCAGCACTTTGGAGATTTATATAAGGCAGATTTTCACATCAGTAGAGAGCCTTAAGTAGGGAAGGATTTGTTGAGCTTTTTCAGATAGAGAAACTCAGGAAGAGCTTCCTTGCTAGGGGAACAGTGGTTTGGCTCAGGCTTTGCTCTAGATTACTTGTCCATCAGTGTCACTTGCCTCCAGAAGAGGAGGAAAGCACTGCCAGCTCAGCTGGACTGCAAGACCATGTATTACATCCCTAAGGGGAAAGAACAGGGAAGCAGCAAGCGCATACAGTCCTGAGATCATCATCTGTCCCAGATTAACATAAAATGGAAACCGATAATTAGTTAACACTAGTTTGAGCATCTCAGACTAGGTGTAGGCCAAATGAGAAGTTTATGTTGAGAAGCAAATTGTATTTAGGCTTTCAGGTTGTGATTCAATGTAATGTCTTGTGATCTCCTTAAGCCTCATCACCTGCACCTTCAGGAGATTTCAGTTCAAGTGAGAACTGGGTATTACTGCATGTTACATCTAAATAAAGGTGATATTTTGATTTAATGGATTCAGATTCAAATATATTCACTTCATTAGGACACCTACCAAATATCCAGCTGTGCAGGCAGGCACTGGCACTGCTTATTTATTGCTGCTTCAATACTTGTTTGTAAAGAACTTACACTGGGCAGCTACCTTTAGACACTTGTAAAGTAAAGAATATTAAAGCCAATACATAATGGTACATAGCATTGTAGTCCTATGTCTCCATGACAGGAAATAGGAAGACATCAAATGCACAGCTTCACACCTTTTAATCCACAGAAAACTGTAAAATATTTGTATCTATGGCCATGAATGTCTTGTACCCCTGAACTTGTGCATTACCTCATACTCATAATCAGGGAGGATGCTGGAGTAATAGTGCTCTTTCCTCACCCATGCACCTGTATGGGAGGTACTGACTGGTATCTCACTAAGATGGAAGACAGGGAAGGACTGCAAAACACTGTATGTAGTCAAAGTCAGAAGGACCACTGTGAACACCTAACCTAATAAAACAGGCCGCATAACACAGATATAGGAAAGGAGAAAAAACATTCCTGTTTGTATCATAAAAAGAGATGTTTGGTGTTTTTTTTTTTAAATGCAAATCCCAGTACATCTGTCATCTGAACCATGTTCAGGAGGCAACAGGACTTACAGGTTTTCCACTAGCAGATATTTTTTCTATCCACTGAAACTGATGCACCGCAAAGCACACCAAGTATGTGCTCATGGGAACTGATTTTTCAAAAGTTGTCCGATTCCAGTTATTGCCCAGCTGTACAGTTTGCTGCAGAAATGGAAAAATAATTAATTTGATTTTTGGAATTGCAAACACATGCAGAATAGGGTACAATACGTCTTTAAAGGCTGAAACTACATAGGACTCATAAATCACCTCTCCAGATTCATCTCTTCTGGCATCCCAGTGCTGATGGCATGAGAACAGATAAAATGTTTTTTCTTTTTTTTTCTGCAATACTGCAATACTGCAAAGTCCTACACAAAATAGGACTTTGTTTTTCAGCACTAAAAAACTTTACCTGGTTCTAATTTTCATCAAGGATTTGAAATCATTCAGATGCACAGGCATTTTGCCAGCACTTTTGCAGTGTATGCTAGTGTGTTTTGTTTTTGAAACAGTTGTATAAAACAACATCACTTTGGACAGGTTAGAGAAGAGGCTGGATTCTCTCCTCTCTTAAATACATGCATCATGTAGGAAGCAGGGGTTGCAGAGATGCTACTTAAGATAAAAATAAGTCTAATGAATATATTCTGAACTCGTTCAGATACAAATTAGCACTGCTAGTTGGTGGATTGTTTAACTGTATATAAGGTTTAGTGCTGATCATAGTTCTTACATTTTAAATACCATTCCTGATTTTCCCAAATGTCCTTAACTCTCAAGTGAACTCTGTGACCAAACCTGCAAGCTGTTCTATGTGATTCATCCTCTAAATATTTACTTCTGCTGTTCATTATCTGCTGTTGCAGGTCTTGTAATTTTTTTGTGGTTCTGACTGGATGACTAACTTAACAGGATAAAAGCAAACAACATATAAAACATACTAACCTTCTACTAGATACAATACTTCAAGAGATGTGATTGTTATAAATACAATGTAAATAAAGCACAGATAATGAATGTTAGAGGTAATATGAGCATGATTCCATGTGCAAAAAAAATACCAACCCTTTTCACAAATTTGTTTTTTTCACAGAGATGAGATATTCACAGTCTACTTTTACATTACTTGACTAATTTTGACTCTATTTTGATATATTTTGTTCTTTCACCAAAGTCAGAACTTCACTAAAAAAATAAAATTTAACTCCAGTGAAAAATGCAAATGAAATATACGAGTTTCTGAATTTGCTGAGTTGATTTTGCAGTGCTAATTATAAAGCTCCACACCACCAAGACTGCTGTGGGATGTGTCACCCACAGTTGTGTGCATTTACAAACAGTTATATTTCCACCCATTTAAAAGATTTCCCAACAAGCTTTCACTGCTAAGAACAGAGCTACTGACCTCATGAGCACACCATATGAAAAAACACCCTGCTATCATCTGTTAGTCAAACCTGAGTATCAACCCAGTATAATATACATTTCCCTGCTTGTACTTGGATTTTAGAAGATTAATCAACAAGTGGTAGCTAGCCCTTTGAATTTGAAAGCTTATTTTTGTATGTCCATATTAGAGGCAAAGTGTGCATGTAAAGATATAAAGTAAATCTCAAAACTGACTAAATCTCCACAACATCTAGCCTCATCCCCGCACTTTCCTTGCCAGTACTCTCACTTATCTGAGGTCTGCAAGGAAAGGTACAGCAAATACTCTCATTTGTTGTTCATCAAAGTGCCTGATGTTCTATCATAGAAAGATTTTTAATAACAATACGTCAGAACTTTAAGTTTGCAAAGGGTCTGGGAGGCAGCTGTAGCAGATTGGTAATAGTTCTGTCAGCTGCATTGCTAAGGGATAATTAAGGTTTGGGGGACTCTTTAAATAAAGCAGTACACATTAAAGCAACCCTTTGTTTTCTGGGTGAAGGAATGATTTGGAAGATGCAAATGTCAACAGCCTGGAGGCTGGAAGCTCTTTATTTATTTCTTCTTTTATTTATTTTTTTTTTACTTGGCACTTTATTTCCCACTTCAGAACATATTTATTAGAAATTATACATTGGACTACACGTTCAGTTAAGCTATTCATTAGAAACTCTCTCAGATGAAAGCCATTCAATCTTCTTCCAGAAGGCCCAGAGGTAAATAATTGATGCCATTGAATTTCATTAAAAACTTGGAATTTGAACCACCAGGTCCAGAAATAGATTAGTTAGGAAATTACATTCATGGTGTACTGACAAATGTCCACACCCATGATCTGAAAGATGGGATTTTAATTTCTGTATTATTAAAAATAATCCTGGACTTTCTTGCTAGAAGGATCCTTTACCGTCAGATTATGATCAGCAGACCCTCGCTTTGGATTGTTATATTGTTTCAGTGAATATTTTGGAATTCCCATCCTGGAAGCAGCTGTCTTCCAGAGCATTCCTTCTCAGAGTCCACCTGGTTTGACTGAAGAACCTGCCAGTACCTATTTATAGTTAGTGAGGGATGCTTATCTAGAATATCTGAACAGAGGGCCAGCTAGCAGAAGACAGAAGAGATGTTTTGTTTCTGCTTTGGATTTGGCTCTGTGTTGCCATATTGTGTGCTTGTGGACCACTGGGATTCCTAACTAACCATCCAGTCCTGTTTTATGGAATATTTATTAACCATTCACTTTACAGTGTCTGGATACTAGAATCTGTGAATATGCAAGGACCTTGCAATCCATGTTACCTTTCCAGTGCCTTTATAATAAGAACCATTCCACTTAGGCAGCAGAGCTGGGAAATACATACCTGTACTGGCATGTTTGATAGTGCTTGGTATGTGTCTTGATGGATGATAGATATGTTGTAAGTCGCCTTTTTGTTGGGCTCGTCAAAGCAAGGAAAAGATTTCCGTGCATCTGTTGGTTCATGATCTGTAGCTGCAATGCTCCTTAAACAAACAACACATTGGCAAGCCTTCATTACGTACCTTTTAAATCCTATCTGCAATTTCTAAGCACAATTTTAGCAATTTCATATACTAAAGTCAACTACAAGTATTTGTGTTTACTTGTCCATTCATAAAAGCAGGGAACATCAGAAATGCAGAAGCTGGCATCATAGAGGCATGTGTAACATGTATACCCCAAAGTCTGTCATCAACATTCTCTAGGTTTCAGAGTAAAAGCTAAAATCAGTTGCTTATCACAAAAAATTTTTAGGAGCCAGGCAATGTTAGGAATGACCACTCACGGATGGTAAAAATTTTGCTCACCTTCCTCATGAGCTTTCCCATTGATTTATGTGTCTAAAAATAATCTATTGATGTTATAATCTGAAAGAAAATTAAGGTCATGGTATAGGGATGTTTACTTTAGTCACTCCATGTGACTTAAGTCTTTCACCCACTAGAGCAGATGTTCAGATTGGAGTCCTGAACATCTCCTGAGAAGACACTTTGGAATTGCATAAGTGCCCCTAAAATCTCATCCTATTTGTGTGTTTCTTTTTTCTGCAGTTACCAATTACAGTTTTCTGCTGGTGCTTCCCTGATTCCATTGATGAAACTGCTGGAGGGAGCATGTAAATTCCAGCTGAACATCATAGTATGTAACTGATGCTATGCTAGCTGCGTTGGGGGGGGGGCAGTTTAGAATGTCGTCTCAGCTATTCAAAAGCAACTGGAGGAGCTAGACAATAAGGGTCACATAAAAAATAAGGTGAAATTTAAGAACATTCATATCATATGATTACTTCTCACAGTGACATCAGGCTCCCACATACAGTAGCAGAGAATATTTTCCAGTGATTGATGGTGAAAGGGATCACAGATGCTTCTTCAATTAATCTGGAATGTTGAGCATTTTCTGACAGCACTTCTACAGCTGCTCTAACAATATTAAGGTAGTTTTTCTTTCCAAAAAGTAATTAAAAGTGCACATCGTAAATTACTGATCTGCAGCAATCCTACAAGCTCACTTGACAAACAATTTTTTCGATGTTTCTGTTGCCCTTGGCATTTCCCTGTGACAGTTAAATTCTAAACTGGTCTTTAGGAACTTGTAGCAACAAGGGTCATTTACAAGCCTGATGGAGGTAATATGTCTGGGTTCTTTCTATTCATGTTCATAGGAATAGTAACTCAAAGGTTCATGGGCAGAAAGCATAATGAACATTCACCTTAACGTAACTTCAGGGTCAACAGTTTCTTTTTTTGCTTGGTAATTTTTTTTTTTCTTTATGTCACCCTCTACTTTCTGCAGGATTTGAAAGCCATTTCACAATTCAGTTAACTTCAAGTCCCCAGGGCAATGCTTCACAGCTGTTGCTTAAAAAATTGTCTCTATGTTTTGACACATTTATATCTTGTTCCTTCAGATTGATAGGACTGTGATATCTCTGTTGATTTATAAGGTGATAATCCATCTATCCTCATATATTTGTGGAGGCATACAGCCTCCACATTTGCTGATTTGTGCATCAGCAGTGCAAAACCTTAGCACTACGGGATAGATGATAAGTCCAGGCAACATCATGCATAGAAGTGGCGCTAGAAACATAAAATGCCATTTCCTTTCACACTGTATAATGTAGGTTTTGGATAAGATTTTCTTCATTGCTTGGTGGCTTTTGCCCTTCTACTTGCTGTTGATATCCAGACCTTTAAATGTGAACTGGAGGTGACGGTTGTAAATATCATAGTAATAAGGAATGAAGATCTGGCTGAGACTACATCCAGCTGTTGTTCCCAAAATAAAACAGTGCTGCATTTAGAACCATGATGAGTTTCCACCACCACCCCTCCTTTATTATTTCCAAAGCAGAAAGGGTTGTGCAAAGACTCCTCCCCTTGGGATAATTAAGGCATTTTTCTCCTAGTCTTTCCTAAAATTCAGATTCACTGCTTCTTCTGAGAAAATTTCCTCCTTGAAGAAATCCGGAAGTGCTAGTTCTGTATGCTAAAGAGTGTTCTGCCTTTCCCTAATCAATCAAACCCTAAATTCAAGTCGCTCTGTTAGACATGTGCCCAGCTAAGTATATTTTATAAGCCTCTGGTTTTCCTCTTATGGAGGACAGGGGGAATTCCTATAACAGAGAAGCCACACCTTGTCATTAACAGTAATGCAAAATAAAAAAAAAAAACTGTTGTGACATTTTTGTATTATCTGCAATATTAACAAAATTAAAAGGGGTTTTATTACATTCCTTGAGAGTTAAAAGAACCCATTACACCAAGTAAGCACTGCTGTTGTGTTCCTTTCTGTAAAATATTTGAGAATAACATATTTATGCTCACTGCATCATGCAAAGTAGGGAAGAACTGTTGTTCCCCTTTCATCAAAGGCGAAATGATGATATGCGCAGAGTAGCAGCTTTACAAAAGGACTTCAGTTCTTACAGCTGGAATTGGGCACCCATAGGAGGATCTAAGTAGGTGCAATATAAAATCTGCATTCTCGAATTTTATGCTTTCCTGATCCCTACCCACATGTGCACATCAATTTAAATAATCGTGTTCCCAAGGTATCTCAAAATCCACTTCTGAGCATGTCCAAAACCACCTTTGTCCTCATGGGGATTGTGTGATCTGTTTGAACAGGATTCCCAAATGAAGCATTCTTCTCCCTAAGCCTCACAAGGATACCAGACTTGCAGGTGTGTTCATTGCATGTCTACCTGTTTTCCGTGACATGTGATGGGACATTTGAATCTCAGCAAAAGCAGAGCCTGGGCACATGCCCAGTTTGTAAAAAAAGGCATTATATCAATGCTTTGGCAAACCTTTACCTTCACAGATAGACAGCTGGGGAGCAGCTCAGCCCTGGGATCTGACTTTCCAGTATTATAAATTTGTTCAAAAAGTCCCACTGCTTTTAGCACTGCCCGGAAGGGAGGAGGAGTAAGTTAATTACATGTTGGCTCTCATTTTCACCTCAGCGCCCTTCTCTCTAGCATCCACTATTAATAGTCTTGCTTGACTTTTGCTATTACCCAATTTGATCTGTATTTACTTATAACATGACAAAAAGGGAACTATTTGGGTTGAAATTTTCCAGGGTTGATGTCTGCCTCAGGCAAAGCTGAAGTAAAAAAAGATAATTCTAGTCAGCACTGTTTCTTAAGCAGAAAGCCAGGGGGAAATGCAGTTTCAATAGGTAATAAAATCCTTCTCTTGCCATCCTTCTTCACCCCATCCTATCACCTACCCCAATTTGCATAGCAGCAACTTGGCTGGTGGTTGCTTTCATTTCAAAGCTGTACTTATCACTGTCATGTACATTGCTTCTGCCCAAACATAACCACATGGAAAGCATTACAGAAATTACCATTCACTCATTCTTACTAAAGCCCTTCTCAAGCTTAACAAACACACACACTCAAGTTCCTTTTTGTATTGAGTGTGTCAGACTGCTGGCTAAGATCACCCTTGCAATTGTAGCTTTCAGCATTCAAATCAAGAAGTAGGAACCCTCTTGAAGTGAGCTCACATTTTATGCTTTCTTTAGCTTATGCAGTTCTCTTTTCTTCCTAACATCAGATGCTTGGTCATTGTCTTCCTATACTGTCTGGATCTGAAAGATGGTCACTCACCTATTCTGCTATGTGACTCCGGAGACCTTCATTCTGGCTCTGCTGTTCTGGTGTTGTGACAGACCTGGAGCAATTCACTTAATATCTAGGTATCCCTCACTAATACAAAGGAAGTAACACACCTCAACTTAGAAAGATGCTAACAGGTTACACTTTAAAATTCTGCAGGCATGTCAGATACTCAAAGCATAAAACCAAAGCACCTTCTGAGTCAGAGCAATACAAAGGTGGTATTTGGAGAAAAACAATAGGGAAAGAGCTGTTTGGGGTCCAAGCTGTTCTTTACATGGCTTCTTCCCAGATCAGATAAATACATTTAAGTAAGTATGAGCAATTAATGTTTTCTTTTTTCCTCTGCTTCTTGGATTTTCTGCTCCTGGTGCCTGTCACTGCTGCTACTCCTGGCATTGCCTGCCAGCAGCTGAATTGGAGCTGAGGAGACTCCCACTCATGACAACATTATCCCAGGGGAGCAAACAAGTGAAAACACACCAGTGTTTGTCTCCATGTTCTGCTACAGGGACTTGGAAAAATCTATCCAAGTTTATCTTCTAGACATAAAGGCTGTAATGAGTCACTTCAGAAATGTAAATATTGAAAAAAATGAGTGTTCTCTCCATATGTTAACTGCAAAGAAATGTCTCTGAGCAGTAGGCAGTGGCTTTTTCAAGCTTCCACCTGAAAATAGTGCAAACCTAGGAAGTGGAAGGGGTTAAATGGACTGGCAGAGGCTTTGTAATCTTTCAATAACTATTGATACATTAAAAAGGAAGAGATGGAGAACAAAAAAAAAATCCAAGTCAAAGATAACCTTAATCATTTGGACTTTCCTACCCATAATTTAAAGCAGCTGAAGAGGGGACAGGGAAGTCTGGATATTCCTCAGGCTTACAACATTAAGGAGGCATGATGTCAGGAAAACTATCACAGGAACATTTTGCACTAAACCTGTTATGTTGGGGAGTGACAGGAGAGAGCTGTATGCTCTTTATAAAAAAAGGCCTCAATCCTCCAGCTCTTTGACAGAACCATTTGTAAAGCTCAAAGGTAACCTGGGACCAGTAGAGTTTGAAAAAGTTTTTCAGAATAATAATAACAAACCCCTCATCTCTCCAGCCCACACTCAGCAGCCAAAGGGTTTTGAATACAGCATTTTCCTTTGGGGAATGAGAAAACTAAAGAACAGCCCAGAAATGTCAGCAAATTGGTGAGAGACAAGACTGAGAAGCTGAAATAGGAATAGAGCACGCCTGAAGAAGTAGGGAAGAAAGTGTAATAAATAAAAGAAAAACTGCTTTACTTGATAAGTCCGTTCTCAGTGTAGGTGGTCCTATAAAACCCAACCAGGGAACCATTCAGCCAGCCTTGAAACTTCAGGGTGAGTATATAGGGATCACTTTCATCAGTGACAGAGAGCTCTGTTTCTGCCTTCATCACTATGTATTCTTGTGGCTCGTAACCAAAGCAGTCATTCACAGCAATTTGCTGTCCTGAAGATTTCTGGAGTGTTGGCATTTCTGTAATCTTGGTCTCTCGCAGGTGGAGCCACAGGTAGCTGGTAGATTTTTCCAAAGCAATGGAAATACTGACTGTCCCAGTGTAAGTGTCTGTCTCCATTTCAGGCTTCATTTCCAAATCATAGTGGATAGGCTTCACATAAGTGGGCAGTCTAAAATGGGTCCAGTCTCCAGTCTCATCATTTCTAGAAGGACAGGGACTCAAGTCCGCTGAGGGAGGAGGGTTTGTTGGCTGATCTGTTTCCCCTGAATGTTGCTGAGATTTAGGTCTGCTCAATCCCACGCCAAGCCCCACGGCAAGACCTACAATGACCACGACGCCACAGATGACAGCCACATGCTTTGTCTTCATGCAGTACCTCTTGGTCTTCTCATCCTCAAAATGCATGCCCTCCATCTCTGGTCCTGGGTCTGTCCTCAGAGGAAAACATTAACTGTAAAAAAGCTTATTAGTCACTTCAGCACTCGCATTCAGTAAACTCAGCAGACTTGGTTTGTATTTTAATGGTGTAGCTATAGCTGTTGTCTGCCCATCTCCCCCACCTCGCTTTCCATGAGACACTCAATTAATTAATGACAACATGCATTTGGAGGAAATGTGAATGATCAAAAGGAGTGCAGCTGGGCTGGGAGATGGAGGGAACTGACACAGAAGAACATTGTTCCTGCCGTGCTCCCCTTATAAGCAGTGCAACCCCACCCCCAGCCCCTCCTGCTCTGGCCTGAGTTAAATATAAAACACTGCTATGTTAATCAGCAGTCAGGGGATGATCAGATGCCAAAGCTCTGTCAGCAGCTTTCAGAAAAGTTTTGCACATAGAGGTGTAAGTGCTCCGAACCCTCAACCTTTGCCACTACCTCTTCCTGCTTTTCCCCCTGCTGTGCATTGTTTAGGTTTTCAAGGTTTGACTTTTTTTACTTTTTCTTCTTACTAGCAAAGATTTTCTTGAACTTTCACCCTATAGTTTGGGAAATGACATCTCCGAAGGCTCAAAAACCCAGCAAAAATCGCATACATCTTTCAAGGCCTTTTCAAATGTTTCCCCTCTTTTCTAGGCTCATTTACCTTTACAGAGTAATTCAAGGGAGTCATGGCCTAAAGAATGCACAGAGGAGCAATAAATTTTGATCACTGACTTCAAACTTTAAAACATGTTAAATTCCTCTTCCCTTCTCATAGGGCCAGTTCTTGGGAGATTGCTCGTAACATGCATGCAATCTGGTAGCCTGGGATTGCATTGCTTTGTTGGGCTGCACAATTACAGTGCAGACTGTGAACTCTTGCTGTGAGGGACACTTGTAAATAGGCAGTTATGTGATTTATGTACTAAAGATCTAATTTAGTATTTGCTGCATGTCATCACAATGTGGTGCTCCATCAAAACAAATTAATTGAATAAAGCCCGATTCTGCTTGGTGAAACTTACTGTAAGTAAGGCCTTGCTAAGCCTGGAAGCAAAATGTTGTTAATGCAGTGTGAAACTGTGTAAAGCAGTCGTCTTGACCTTATCTGATGCTGAACTAAAGGAAAATGGTGTAGAATAGAAACCTCAGTCCCTGGATCTCTTAACCCTTTTTCTCCATTTACGGAGCCCACTTGAGCAGATTTTTAATCAGGCATATCAGTTTGGCTTCAAGCCTCCTGTTTTAGTTATTAGGAGACAGGTTAACATCACTCTTCAAATCAGTTACAAATCTCTGACAACTGCCTCTTTGTTTGTTGGGTTTTGTTTTTTTTTTGAGATGGATGAATTTTCACCTGGATGGGTTGACTTAAGCCCTAGAATCAGTCAACATATGCTCTGAGTGAGATGCATTGAATCGGGGAAGGAGCTTTTCCAGGATAGACTTATCCAGTCTGTTTAGAAATGGATCTGCTCACAAGCTTTATAAGTCTCACTCTGAAATGTCACCAGCCATGGGGAACTTTAGCCACCCAGTCAGCATCAGCACTCTTACAGCACACTACTATTTGAATAGCATCTTGTTTTAAAGGCAAGATTTTCCAACAGGAACTGAGAAAAATATAAGGTCTTTTTCTTGCAGAGCATCAATCTTACGCAGATATTTTCAAAAGTGAAAAAACAATGAAAAAAAATCAAGCAGAAAGCAAAAAATCTGTTTCATATTATGTCTGTTTTTATTGTTTCTCATTTTTTTGCTATGATCAAAACTAGATATGACATGGGAAATAAGTGCCCTTTAATGGATTGGGTAAGAATTTAACTTCTAGCAACAGAGCCAGCATTGAAGATCATGGACTTAACATTTAAAACCATTTCAGCTTTTCTCTTGTTCTGATTGGACAGGACATGGAAAAAAGCAGGAATAGATTTGAAATAAGACATTTTAAACCAGAGCAGACCATAAGTGACAAGGTAGTGTGTTTTAATTTCAGGCATGTTTTCTACATCTGTCCCATTTTCATTCTCAGCCATAAGCTTTTCTGCTACATTTTTAATCTGAAAATTAAAAATGCTGTTTGAGCTTATAGACTGCAGAGCAGGTTATTTACTGTAATTATGATGAGACTTGCAGATTTCTTCACTGGTAACAAGTATCTCCTTCAGTAAGAGCTAGAAATGATGAGCTGGTCCTAACCAGCAAAAATATATGTGTTTCTTATCCTAAGCCTTAAAACAACACTAGCAGTAAAACCCATTACAAGCCAATGACAAGTGACAAACAAATTAGCTGAACAAGCAGCAGAGATAATAATCTCCAATAGGTTTCTCCTGCCAGTCAATAGCGGAAGTGCAGTTATGCACAAGCTCAAGCATTGATCTTCTCTTTATAAGGTTCAAGCCTAGTTGAAGCCAAAAATAGGTATAATATATTTCTGATAGTGGTAGTTATGAGCAAAGTTATCCCTCCCATATCAGAAATATGTTTTGTTCCCAGCTGACACCGCTGGGGTCAGATAGAAGCTGCCTAGCTGCATTGACCTAATATACATGTTCAAGGATAAGACAGGGCTCAAACTATTAATTCCTCTACACAGCAGCAATAAAGGATGGCAGAGCTCCCAAAGACAATGCCAATGCTTTCCCTGCTCTGCTGTCTCCAGGTAGAGAGGGGCAAGGAACAAGATCTGCTTCCCCAGAGGAGATAGATACTTTGTCTACCCTCTCACCTCACAGGCATAAGATAATGAATCCCCATACGGAAAGTGGAAGAAAGCTCACACCAAGCTGCTCCAGCATAAACTGCAAGTATGACTGCAGGCAAGAGCTAGCCAAGCTTGGACAAGTTTAAATTGCTTTAGTTTAATTTCTGGAAAAATGAAAAGATATTTTAATAATCTTATCAGTCACCTGGGCAATGCTAACATCTGCTATCGTTTGGTGCTGATTTGTAATTGAAGCAATTTCATCTGAAGTTAGTGCTTAGTTCTCAGTCTGCACCATAATTATCACACTAGCTTTTTTAGGTAGCCGATTTAGCTACCTAATGTGGGCATGAAGTCACTCTGCTCTGCCATGAAATTGCTGGTGGGGACATGTACACACCCCTAGAAGAAATGCCCAGTGATCTTTTCAGACAACTACCAGGAATATAAATGAGTTTTAATTTTTATGTCCAGATTGACAACCATTCATTTTCAATACAATATCCAATTTTAAGTTTGGAAAATGGAATAAAAATCAGCTGAAGATGACAATGAGAAAAAGAGCTGCTCTGGAAAGCATCAAAGATGTGGAATGGCTGAAGCATAAAAAAGAAGAAAAAAACCAACCTTTCACTGCAACTCACAGAGCTAGCCAAGCTTGGACAAGTTTAAATTGCTTTAGTTTAATTTCTGGAAAAATGAAAAGATATTTTAATAACTTATCAGTCACCTGGGCAATGCTAACATCTGCTATTTTCGTTTGGTGCTGATTTGTAATTGAAGCAATTTCATCTGAAGTTAGTGCTTAGTTCTCAGTCTGCACCATAATTATCACACTAGCTTTTTTAGGTAGCCGATTTAGCTACCTAATGTGGGTATGAAGTCACTCTGCTCTGCCATGAAATTGCTGGTGGGGACATGTACACACCCCTAGAAGAAATGTCCCGTGATCTTTTCAGACAACTACCAGGAATATAAATGAGTTTTAATTTTTATGTCCAGATTGACAACCATTCATTTTCAATACAATATCCAATTTTAAGTTTGGAAAATGGAATAAAATTTTTGCAAGTGACAGCCAGGATCAGCACTAGCAGAAACCTGCTGTAGGCATTCAGGAAAGAGTCACACAGTCCTAGGAAATCCTTATTGAAGATGACAATGAGAAAAAGAGCTGCTCTGGAAAGCATCAAAGATGTGGAAATGGATGAAGTATATTAAAAAAGAAGAAAAAAACCAACCTTTCACTGCAACTCACAAATGAAAATCCAAGCCAAGTCCGTCCTTGAAATAACTCGAAACACTTACTGAACCTATGCCAAGGAAGTCTTTGGCTCCCTGTTTAAAGGGACGTTAAGGCAACGTAAGGGCAGCAAGAGCCTCAGGAGGACTGCATTATTTCCTGCTGCAGACTGAAGAGGTTCATGTATAACATGCTAGACGGAAGTGCAGTGCAGTCCCACCACCTATTTTGAGTTTCTGCAGTGTTTCCCAGCAGGTCAGTGCTATTTTATTGCTAGGGTCAAGGCTGAAGGGAATTACCTGAAAGCCTCTTTGCAACAAACTACTGGGAGTTACCTTTAGTAGAGACTTTATTTTGTTCCTTTCCTTTTTTTTCCTGTTAAATTCCAGAACATAGATTCTTTGCCTTGAAATGTGAACGTCATCTTGTACTATTTGTGTAAGCAAAGCAATTCAAACTGTATTCATTTGCTTTGATATATCATGTCATATATCTTATCATGTCACGTCACATCATCATTTAATCTTCCATTTCATTGCTACCAAGATGTGCTTGCTTTTAATCATTAATATCTAATTAATTAGTTTTTAATCATTAATCTCTAATACAAAACCAGAATAGTCTGGATCCTGGGAATACAGTTCCAACTTTCCAATTCTGACATATTTTATTGTTTTTACATCTTAGTACCATATTTCTTGTCAACACTGGTCATTAAAATAATTACAGTTTATTGCTCTGCACTTCAAAGAGCAGAGCTTCCAATGTGAAATTTCATTCTTGTCTTTAAAAACATGCCTGAGGAGGGTTCTACTGTATGAACAAAATACAATTTATCTTATATGGACATTTTTTCAAATTCACTCAACATACATTTTACTTATCAACTTCCTAAGCAAAAGTGAGAAGAGCAACAAGCTTTTACAGTGAAACCTCTGGATAGGCTGGGCCACCAGCAGGCCTACCAGAAAACAAATACTGCAGTTTAGAAATTCAGTGGGAAATTCCTTGATGAGCTTCTGAAGGCATTTTATCCCCTTAGAATGACAAAGTTACTTTCCACTCTCTTCACTTTTTTTTTTGAGGGTGAGGGACTATACCCTAGAAAGCCCCCTCCCTCCACTTGCCATCCAACAGCCTTTAATCTGTCTAATTTGCAATTCCCTGAGGTGTCACCTCTACCCTTGAGCACTGTTGTGTCATTTGGTGCAGTTATATTGGTCCATTTCTATGTCTAGATAGCAGGGCATAAGAAGAAAAGCATTTTGATGGAGAAGTGTAAAATTTCCTTCTTACCTTGACTGGCCCCAA